TAGTTTTGTCTATATCTGATATGAGAATAAGGAACAGCAGTGGTGCAAGGACTGTACCTTGAGGTACAGAGCTTTTAACATCGCTTGGACTCGATTTTATTTGAGTGACTGTTACCTTTTGTGTTCTGTTCGACATGAAATTGAGTATCCAGCGTCCCACTTTACCAGTTATACCCATTGACTTCATTTTGTGTGCTATCACTCCATGGTCATATTTGTTGAATGCCTTTGCTAAGTCTGTGTATACAACATCTGCATTCTCTTTTTCTTCTAATGCCTCAGTGATTGTGTCGTAGTGGTCAAGTAGCTGTGAGAGGCATGTTCTTCCCTCTCTGAATCCATGTTGTCCTGGGTTGTGGTCATTAGTTTTCTTGAATCTAGTGACCTGACTCCTGATCACTCTCTCAAATACTTTTATTATGTGGGACGTTAGTGCAACTGGTCTATAATTCTCTGCCAATGCTTTGCTCCCTCCCTTGTGTAGAGCCCTTCCTTGTGTAGAGGGGGGCTATGTCTGCTGCTTTAAGCGCATCTGGTATCTCCCCTGTGTCCAAGCTCTTCCTCCACACTATAATGAGTGCCTGTGCTACTGGCACTTTGCATTACTTTATAAATATTGAATTCCATGAGTCTGGACCCAGGGCCGAGTGCATGGGCAGTGTCAATTTCTCTTTCAAAATCTGCCACGCTCGTGTTGTTATCCGTTATATTTACAGGTGTTTGGATATCATGCATAAAGAAGTTGTCCGGATCTTCCACTTTCATGCTGTGTATCGGAGTGCTAAACATGTCCTCATACTGCTTTTTTAGGATCTCGCTAATTTCTTTGTCATCCTCAGTGTATGAACCTTCACTAATACGAATAGGTCCAATACTGGCAGTTGTTTTTGCTTTTGATTTAGCATATGTGAAGAAATATTTTGGGTTTTTCTTTATTTCTTGAATTGCTTTTTGTTCTAGTTGCCTTTCTTCTTTCTGATATGAATGCTTCAGTCTCTGTTTGATTTCTTCAATCTCCCTGTTTAAAGTATTCCTTCTTTGTATGGAAAGTCGTGTCTGCTTAAGCATTTCTGTTAATATCTTCCTTGTTTTGTAATGTCGTCTGCGTTTTCTTTCTACATTGGACCTCTTTCTGGCTTTCCTCAAAGGAACATGTTTCAGACAGACTTCATATGCTTCAGAAGTCAGTTTTACTATTCCTTGTGTAGGATTTTTATTTCTTAGAACATTTTCCCATTGAATGTTTGTAAGCTCCCTGTTTATTTTCTCCCAGTCTATCCTTTTATTATTAAACTTGAATTTATTGAATAATCCTTCTCGCTTGTTGTTTCTCTTGGGCCTAGTAACATTATTAATGTTAGTTTTCACTTCAATAAGCCTGTGGTCCGAGTACGTAGTGTCTGAGACAGTAATGCCTCTGAGTAGCTCATCATTGTTCGTGAATATCAGGTCCAGCGTGTTTTCGTTCCTAGTTAGTTCTGTAATCTGCTGACTGAGCGAGAATTTGTCACAGAATCTCAGTAGTTCTCTGACCTGTGGTTGGTTATTTCCAGGTTGATTTCCTGCAATAATGTTATTATTTACTATTCTTCATTTTAAACTCGTTAGATTGAAGTCTCCAAGGAAGATGATATCTGGTACTGGGTTTGCTAGGTTATCAAGGACATTCTCTATTTTGTGAATCTGTTCAGTGAATTCCTCAACTGTTGCATCTGGCAGTTTGTATATTAAAATAATAAGTAGATTAATATTTTCTACCTTGATTCCAAGTACCTCTACCACCTCATTGGACGAGTTGAGGAGCTCTGTGCATGCCAGCTCCTCTTTAATATACAGACCCACTTGACCTAATTACTCTGTCACATCTATATAGATTATAATTTGGGATCCAGATTTCACTATCCATGTGGTCTTTTGTGTGGGTTTCTGTAAATGCACCAAATATTGAGTTCGATTCTATTAGGAGGGCATTTATCAACCTAACTTTATTTCTTAATTTTAATTTCAGGCCTTGTACGTTTGCAAATATGAACGATTTCCCACATTGTGTGTCAATTATGGTGGGCTTTGGTAGTTCTCTCCCCTCTCCACCCAGGTCCCGGGTGTGTTATTTTGGTAGTGTTTCATCCAGTTTTGGTAGTAGGACGGGTGTTGTGTGGTGTAGTACCTGTGTACTTGTTGATAATTTGTATTCCAGTCGTGTGGGTATCTCCCTTCCCCTCTGTAATTTTGCAGTGGTTCCATCTGACTGTTCTTCTCTCTTACATGTTCTACTCCTCTAAAAAATTTCCAGTAGTGTCATATTGATCTTCCTGTCTATAACGCTGTGTACCTCTCACATGGAATTCTGGACATTGAAGATTGTAATATTGGCTGTCCAATGGTGGCTGGTGCTCTTTGTTGGCTGTCTGTCTGTCTGTCTCCCCCATGCTAGTGTGGGCCCTGGTGTTTGGTGGGTGGCTAGTGCTCTTTGTCATGGTGCCCTCCTCTTCCACCATTGATATCTTATGATTCAGCCCAGTCTGTGGTTGTATTATTGGTTGCACTATTTAAGTCACTTATACGGTCCCGTCTTGAGTACTGCTCAGTACTCACTTCCCCCTTCAGAGCAGAAGAGATTGCTGAAACAGAGGGAACAGAGAGAACATATATGGTATACATAGATGTAATAAAGCACCTAAATTATTGGGATCGTCTCAAAGCTCTCCAAATGTACTTGTTAGAAAGGAGACGAGAGAGATATCAAATAATATCCACGTGGAAAATACTGTACTAGATGGCCAGATCCCAAATCTACACAGTAAAATAACATACTGGAGTGAACAATATGGAAAAAAATGCAGAAAAGAACCAGTGAAGAGCATGGGTGCCATAGGGAATCTGAGAACACTGTATAAACATAAGAGGTCCACGATTGTTCAACATCATCCCAGTGAGTATAAGAAATATTGCCGGACATGTCAATGGCAATATTGGCAAAGTCAATTGCAAATGGCAATGGCAATATTGCCATTGACATTTTTAAGAGAAAACTAGATAGTTTTCTTCAAGAAGTGCCAACCAACCAGGCTGTGGTGGTATGTGGGCCTGTGGGCTGCTGCAAGCAACAGCCTGTTGGACCAAGCTCTCACAGGTCAAGCCTGGCCTCTTGTCGGGCTTGGGGAGTAGAACTCCCAGAACCCCATCAAGCAGATAGTCTGCATTTTCTGATTGTGAGGTGCCATTTTGAGTATGTTTGGAAGCCACTGGAGAGTTCCAAAAATCAAGCATTTAATTAAATGAAGCTCCTTATTTGTTGGGCTCTCAGTTGCTCCGTGTCCTTGCACTGTTCCTGTGAACGTTTTAGGCTTTACACTTGCAGCTTTGGGGTGGGGGGGGGGATAGGCTGGCTGAGACCTTAGGAAACCTGGGCGGCCATCTGGTGATAGGCACTTCAATCAGGATATTTATCCTGTATCAATGGTAGTGTGTGTGCCTTGTTTACTAAGGGGTGCATAATGTCCTTAAAGCACTTATTTTGTTACACCAATTTTCATCATTGTACATCATCGGTACTTTGTAAGTAAACCCAACGTAGCGCAATCTTACCCAACCCGACTTGGCCTGACCAACCGACTCGACCGACGTACCAGACTGATCGACCCACCAAACCCAACCTGGCAAGAACAGTCCCGGCTCGACCGGACCTAACCAACAAAATAAAGAGATAACATTTTGCACTTTATAAATAATGTGCACAAGGTGTGTGACATCAAAGTTTTATCCTGACTCAGGTTTTAGATTCTTCTGCTGCTCTCTGCCTTATAGAGTGAGCCAATTGGTCTTGGGCACAAAGTAGGTGATGGACGGGGTCTCGGAGGCCTGGTGTCTGTTGGGCTACGGCTCGGTGGTACCTAAACTAACAAGCTCTGGGAGTCGCACTGGAAAAAGGTGTTTCAGTTCATCCAGTGCTTGATTTATGTGCTGAATATATATATATATATATATTTTAATTCAAGTACCTGGTCGTTATATATGTTCGTTGTCAGTGGTTTATGATGTTCCTCGTGTGCCATCATGTATATGTGGGCTTATATTTTGGGGTCTGTCTCTGTCTGTTTGCCTGTTTCCCACCCTTCCTTCCTCCCTCCCTCCCTCCCTCCCCCCCCCCTCCCCTCCCCGCCTCCCTCCCTCCCTCCCTCCCTCCCTCCCTCCCTCCCTCCCTCCCTCCCTCCCTCCCTCCCTCCCTCCCTCCCTCCCTCCCCCCCTCCCTCCCTCCCCGCCTCCCTCCCTCCCTCCCTCCCTCCCTCCCTCCCTCCCTCCCTCCCTCCCTCCCTCCCTCCCTCCCCCCCCCCCCCCCTCCCCTCCCTCCCTCCTCCCCTCCCTCCCTCCTCCCCTCCCTCCCCCCCTCCCTCCCTCCCTCCCTTCTTTCCTCCCCTTCCTCCCCTCCTCCTTTCCTCCCTTCCTTCTTTCCTCCCTTCCTTCCTCCCTTCCTCCCTTCTTTTCTCCCTCTCTCCCTTCCTCCCTGTTTTCTCTTTGGATTTTCATAATTTAGTGCTCTTTAGCTTCAGTCTCTTTCTAGAGAAAGTAGAGAACTGTATACAAAAAATTTGTATGTTTTCTATTTAGAAAAAGAAAGAGAGAGTATTTTAGATTATCCCTTAGGTTTACTTTGTTGACATTATTGTATTTAAATTATTACCTAGAACACCTTTTAACAAAGGTATTTAGAAGTGAACGTACTTGGTGCTGTGTAAGGCATGATGTCGTTCTTGCCGGTCGTCTAGCCGTTGTGGGTGGGAGAGAAACGCCGAGACAAGAACAGACTTTTATTTGTCGGTAACATTTGCGTCTCGGAAGTTATTTACTAATTCTAACCCAGATATTTGGAACTGGTTTTATATTACATTATTTACAATGAAATACTGTATGATGCATTATATATAAATATTACCATTTCAGTATAAGACTTTGTGTATTATTATATTTATAAAAGTTTGTGTGTTTTATTTAAATGGCAGGTTTATTATTCAACAACTGAGCTACATGACCCGGGCGACCTCTCAGACATGGACGCTGAGCTCATCGCCGATCACAATGACATCCTCATGGATGATCTTAATGGCCAGCCACCAAATAAAGCTAATAAGGTACAGTGCATCATGCTTAAAACTTTTGGATGATGAGTGAAGTGACAGGATGAGGACCGGCCTCGTGGTGTTTCTTCCTCGCGTTACTCTTGTCATATGATGATTTGAAACTACTCATGGTTTTGGCCGCCATTACCTGTTCTCCAGTCACTCACCTGTTACCCCTGTCCCCACCTGTCATTACCCCGTCACCACCTGTCATTACCCTGTCATTACCCCTGTCACCACCTGTCACCACCTGTCATTACCCCCATCACCACCTGTCATCACCCCGTCACCACCTGTCATTACCCCCGTCACCACCTGTCATTACCCCCGTCACCACCTGTCATTACCCCATCACCACCTGTCATTACCCGTCACCACCTGTCATTACCCGTCACCACCTGTCATTACCCGTCACCACCTGTCATTACCCCCATCACCACCTGTTATTACCCCTGTCACCACCTGTCATTACCCCTGTCATTACCCGTCACCACCTGTCATTACCCGTCACCACCTGTCATTACCCGTCACCACCTGTCATTACCCCTGTCACCACCTGTCATTACCCGTCACCACCTGTCATTACCCGTCACCACCTGGCATTACCCGTCACCACCTGTCATTAGCCCTGTCACCACCTGTCATTACCCGTCACCACCTGTCATTACCCGTCACCACCTGTCATTACCCGTCACCACCTGTCATTACCCGTCACCACCTGTCATTACCCGTCACCACCTGTCATTACCTCTGTCACCACCTGTCATTACCCGTCACCACCTGTCATTACCCCGTCACCACCTGTCATTGCCCCTGTCACCACCTGTCATTACCCGTCACCACCTGTCATTACCCCCGTCACCACCTGTCATTGCCCCCGTCACCACCTGTCATTACCCCTGTCATTACCCGTCACCACCTGTCATTACCCGTCACCACCTGTCATTACCCGTCACCACCTGTCATTGCCCCTGTCACCACCTGTCATTACCCCTGTCACCACCTGTCATTACCCGTCACCACCTGTCATTACCCCGTCACCACCTGTCATTACCCGTCACCACCTGTCATTACCCGTCACCACCTGTCATTACCCCTGTCACCACCTGTCATTACCCCTGTCACCACCTGTCATTACCCGTCACCACCTGCCATTACCCCCGTCACCACCTGTCATTACCCCTGTCACCATCTGTCATTACCCGTCACCACATGTCATTACCCCCGTCACCACCTGTCATTGCCCCTGTCACCACCTGTCATTACCCCGTCACCACCTGTCATTACCCCTGTCACCACTTGTCATTACCCGTCACCATCTGTCATTGCCCCTGTCACTACCTGTCATTGCCCCTGTCACCACCTGTCATTACCCATCACCACCTGTCATTACCCGTTACCACCTGTCATTACCCGTCACCACCTTTCATTACCTGTCACCACCTTTCATTACCCGTCACCACCTGTCATTACCCGTCATCACCCCGTCATCACCTGTCATTACCCCGTCACCACCTGTCATTACCCGTCACCACCTGTCATGACCCGTCACCACCTGTCATGACCCGTCACCACCTGTCATGACCCGTCACCACCTGTCATTACCCGTCACCACCTGTCATTACCCGTCACCACCTGTCATTACCTGTCACCACCTGTCATTACCCGTCACCACCTGTCATTACCCGTCATCACCCCCATCACCACTTTTCCCAACCATGTACTTGCAAAAGAAAAGGTTCTGATATTTTTTGGCACCTTTGTTTCCTTTGCTTGAATATATCCTAACGTTCTTGAAGATGCAGGTTTCAAGAATTCCTCTCTTGTCAGTTTTGTGAATTCCTGTTATTATTTTGAATGTAGTGATCATATCACCTCTTTTTCTTGTGTCGTCTTGGTTTGGCATATTTAATGCCTCTAGCCTCTCTTCGTGGCTTATTTTCAGTTCTGGAAGCCATTTTGGCACATATCTTTGCACCTTTTCCAGTTTATTGAAAATATGTGAAGATATGGGCACCATGCCATCGCTACATATTCCAATTTTGGTCCGAGAAGGGTCATGAACAGTTTCTTTAATATTTCATCATTTATGTATTTAAAAGATATTCAGAAGTTGAAAATTGTAGCATAGGCTCCTTGCACAACATCCTTTATGTGTTTCTCTGGTGAAAGCCCCATGGCAATGCTACCTCATTTAAAATATTTTATCTTCCAGCTTCGTCTTCACTAGTGCAACACTATCTAGCATCTTAAGCTGCATTATATCATTTAAATCCAGTATTATTTTACCCCACCCCCATCTATATTGGTATAAACATGTACTGTACCATATTCAGGAACATGTTTCGCCCTCAGACGGTAAAGAAACAACGGCGTTTTGGTTCGTCCTGGACCATTGTCAAGTCATATCTCTTGATAATGATCCAGGACGGACCGAAATGTCGTCGTTTCTTCATCTTCTGGTGTGTGGTTAAGTCATCATATCTTCAGCCACGTTACTGTGACTCATCGTCTGCAGGTTTCCTCATCCTCCTCTACCTTTCACTCTCCTTTCTTCTAGCAATTTTGTTGGTTTGCTTTTTGTGTACCATCTCATAAGCTTCTTGATCCTTATCACCATTTAGAAAAAAATAATTTAGAAGAATTCTTTGTCATATTAAGTAATTTGTTGAAATCCATATTATATTGTGATTATCATTTAAGCCCAATATATGCAAGATAAATTAATTTCTCCACTCACGTTGTGCTGCTAGGAGTTGGAGTCTTAGAGTAACTTCTACAGGGTGTAACACATTGTAATATATATATATATATATACTTTCAAAAACGAACCCAAATCAAGTTTTTATTTGCAATTTACTTGTACATGGTGATCTGTACACGTGTGATGTTTGAGCATTACTTGTATGTGATGATCTGTACACATGGTGATGCTTGAGTGATGATGTTACTGAAAACTTGCAGACCAAAAAGAACCCCGACCTATTTATGGAGGATGGGGTGAGCAGCATCGACTTCATCCTGGTGTCGCGGGATAGTGATGTTGCCGATGATCAGATCCACATAGAACACGAGGAGCGACGTGAGGTGTTTGAGAAGAACCTGGAGAAGGAGGGCCTCATCCTGGAGGTGGCCAGAGTCGAAGACGTTCCCCTCAGGTCAGTTTAGTGGCCATATTTTTTCTATTTAGGATTTTATTCTAACATTCCAAGTACTCATATGGTATTAATATGGATATTTAATCAATTAAAAAATAACTAACTTCAGGGGAGCTGGTCGGCCAAGCGGACAGCACACTGGACTTGTGATCCTGTGGTCCTGGGTTCGATCCCAGGCGCCCGTGAGAAACAATGGGCAGAGTTTCTTTCACCCTATGCCCCTGTTATCTAGCAGTAAAATAGGTACCTGGGTGTTAGTCAGCTGTCACGGGCTGCTTCCTGGGGGTGGAGGCCTGGTCGAGGACCGGGCCGCGGGGACACTAAAAGCCCCGAAATCATCTCAAGATAACCTCAAGATAACCTATGGGTCCTGTTAAGGTAATTATATTAAGTTGTGGATCTAAGTTTTTCCCTCCTCCTCCTCCTCCTCTTGCTGGTGTGGTTTGCCCAGCATCTGG